AATACAGGCAGCAAGGTCAGGGCAGGGTTGAGGGCCGGTGATCAAGAGAGGAGAGGAGGTCAGGGGGGCCACAGCGACAAACACAGCCGCTACAGTGATAAACACAGCCGCCACAATGACAAGTACAGCCGCCACAATGACAAGTACAGCCACCACAATGACAAGTTCAGCAGCCACAATGACAAGTACAGCCACCACAATGACAAGTACAGCCACCACAACGACAAACACAGCCACCACAATGACAAGTACAGCCGCCACAATGACAAGTACAGCCGCCACAATGACAAGTACAGCCGCCACAATGACAAGTACAGCCACCACAATGACAAGTACAGCCACCACAACGACAAACACAGCCGCCACAATGACAAGTACAGCCACCACAATGACAAGTACAGCCACCACAATGACAAACACAGCCACCACAATGACAAGTACAGCCACCACAACGACAAACACAGCCACCACAATGACAAGTACAGCCACCACAATGACAAGTACAGCCACCACAATGACAAGTACAGCCACCACAACGACAAACACAGCCGCCACAATGACAAGTACAGCCACCACAATGACAAGTACAGCCACCACAATGACAAACACAGCCGCTACAATGATAAACACAGCCGCCACAATGACAAGTACAGCCACCACAATGACAAGTACAGCCGCCACAATGACAAGTACAGCCACCACAACGACAAACACAGCCGCCACAATGACAAGTACAGCCACCATAATGACAAGTACAGCCACCACAACGACAAACACAGCCACCACAATGACAAGTACAGCCTCCATAATGACAAGTACAGCCACCACAACGACAAACACAGCCGCCACAATGACAAGTACAGCCACCATAATGACAAGTACAGCCACCACAACGATAAACACAGCCACCACAATGACAAGTACAGCCACCACAATGACAAGTACAGCCGCCACAATGACAAGTACAGCCACCACAATGACAAGTACAGCCTCCATAATGACAAGTACAGCCACCACAATGACAAGTACAGCCACCACAATGACAAGTACAGCCGCCACAATGACAAGTACAGCCACCACAATGACAAGTACAGCCTCCATAATGACAAGTACAGCCACCACAATGACAAGTACAGCCACCACAATGACAAGTACAGCCGCCACAATGACAAGTACAGCCACCACAATGACAAGTACAGCCGCCACAATGACAAGTACAGCCACCACAATGACAAGTACAGCCTCCATAATGACAAGTACAGCCACCACAATGACAAGTACAGCCGTCACAACGACAAACACAGCCGCCACAATGACAAGTACAGCCACCATAATGACAAGTACAGCCACCACAACGATAAACACAGCCACCACAATGACAAGTACAGCCACCACAATGACAAGTACAGCCGCCACAATGACAAGTACAGCCACCACAATGACAAGTACAGCCTCCATAATGACAAGTACAGCCACCACAATGACAAGTACAGCCACCATAATGACAAGTACAGCCGCCACAATGACAAGTACAGCCACCATAATGACAAGTACAGCCACCACAATGACAAGTACAGCCACCACAATGACAAGTACAGCCACCACAATGACAAGTACAGCCACCATAATGACAAGTACAGCCGCCACAATGACAAGTACAGCCGCCACAACGACAAGTACAGCCACCACAACGACAAGTACAGCCGCCACAATGACAAGTACAGCCACCATAATGACAAGTACAGCCACCACAATGACAAGTACAGCCGCCACAATGACAAGTACAGCCGCCACAACGACAAGTACAGCCACCACAATGACAAGTACAGCCACCACAACGACAAGTACAGCCACCACAATGACAAGTACAGCCACCACAATGACAAGTACAGCCGCCGCAATGACAAGTACAGCCACCACAATGACAAGTACAGCCACCACAATGACAAGTACAGCCACCACAACGACAAGTACAGCCACCACAATGACAAGTACAGCCACCACAATGACAAGTACAGCCACCACAACGACAAACACAGCCACCACAATGACAAGTACAGCCACCACAATGACAAGTACAGCCACCACAATGACAAGTACAGCCACCACAATGACAAGTACAGCCACCACAACGACAAACACAGCCACCACAATGACAAGTACAGCCACCACAATGACAAGTACAGCCGCCACAATGACAAGTACAGCCACCACAACGACAAACACAGCCACCACAATGACAAGTACAGCCGCCACAATGACAAGTACAGCCACCACAACGACAAACACAGCCACCACAATGACAAGTACAGCCGCCACAATGACAAGTACAGCCACCACAACGACAAACACAGCCACCACAACGACAAACACAGCCGCCACAACGAAGGGTATAATGTATGGAATAAGTGTGTAGAATGCAGAAGCACTCTCCCAGGCTCCTGGGAACACTGTCAGTGTCAGGCTCCTGGTGCAGTATGACGCCCCGCGGGCATACACTGAGCACGGCGACACCTGTGGGAGGAGCGGAACACTAGTGGGGGGCGGGAAAGAGAAGATATAGCTGTAGGGAGAATTCCACCTCCCGGGATACCATCCACCTTTCAGAGAGAACATAAACACAAGAGCAGGTGTGATGCTATATATAAAATAGGACCTGACTACAACCAGCAGTCAGGTCCCAAGTCTATCAAAACAACAGTGGAAATAGCTTGAAGAATAACAAAACAATGCTATGAGATTACACAGTGGCACAGTCGATTAAGACGCGTCTGGGATCCTCTCGAACGCAGGTTCGAACCCTCATCACGACCCTTGTGGATTTGTTGAGTTCTGTGAGAGCTGCCCTGGGAGCCCCTATGTGGACCAGGCTTGAATCTCTTGAAACTGGACACGGGGTTTGCCCTCTCTTCAAAAAACAATATATATCATACAACCAGTAATGAGGATCTAAACACGACGGGATCCTCAGTGTAATATACTCAGAATATGTTGTACAATATCCTTAGAATATGTGGTGCTCACAGTGGTAGCAGACTGACAGTGGGAGTACGCTACAGGGCAAGCAAACCAACAGCACTAGAAAGTTACATATCTGAGTAAAATGACAAATGGTGCAGCTAAAACCCAAGCTCCTATAACACGGGGGGATTTTAACCACGAGACACAAGATTGCTTGATTCTGACATCATAATTGGAAGGAGAAAAATCTCTTAAAGTAGAGGACTCCTATCTCATTAAGTACACGACAGAGCCCCACCCGAGGTAAGACCATCGTAGACCTTGTGATAACATCGGGAGAGTGGAGAGGTTCACCCCTTCGTGTCACTACTGTATCTTAAGATGGAATACAATTATAGAAACCCTATATAAAGGTCCAGGGCCATGACTTTCTAGACTATCTTCGAGGAGATCATCACAGTAGGAGACAGTAGTGGGCATAATACCTCCTGGAGACCATCACAGTAGGAGACAGTAGTGGGCATAATACCTCCTGGAGACCACCACAGGAGACATGGAGATATCGTGGGAAAACATTACAAAAATCATCACTAAACTTGTTCAAAAATACATACGGAGATGGAGAAGGAAACATAAGAGAACTAGGTGGATGACAAAGACTCATCCAAAAACATCCTCTTGAAGAAGTATTCATCCACTAAGTCATCACATAGACTATGTGGTGTACAGAAGGGCATTAAACTCAGCCACTCGGGAAATCAGATCAACCAAAAAAAATCTATGAAAGAAAACTTGCTCAAAAGTTTAAGAAACACCGCTAATCTTATTATGCCTACATAAGAAGTCAACCCAAGACAAAAGACTCCGTAGGACCTTAAAAGATGAGACTAAGTTATAACTGAGGGTAAGGAGAGCCTGAACACATGGTGATGGCGGCTTCCTGTGTGTGGGTGAAGGTGTCTACTGATCAGCCGTGTTGTTGTGACTTGCTGTCTGCACGCGGGCTCAATACTTAACACTAATGAGAGGGTGGTTACCTTGCGTTCGTTCCGGGGGGTCAAGGTACCCACGGCCCGGTCTCTGACCAGGCCTGGCCCTCAGTAACTCTTCAGTCTTGCTGCTTGTTAAGGTGCGTTAGTAACCTCTAATTCCTCTTAATACTAACCGTCCGGTCTTGGGTCGATCTTAACCCAAGATTATTATTGTTATAAACAATCACGTACCTCAATATTTTATTTTTTGTACAAAAGCAGATTAAGCCACTATGAATAATTAAAGATATACAGGTTTCGTAAGTGGACATATAAATGCTTCATGAATCCCGACCCAGAACAGCAAGGGGCCAAACATGGAGCCTTGTGGGGCTCTGCTTGTCAATCTTTCCTCTCTGGCAGTTTAACAACAGTGGTTGGTGTGAGGTAGTTCCATGGCCAGTCCAGCATCTTCCCGGTAATTACAGCCTCCTGCTGCATCTTATAGAGTACCGCTCCTCGAGAACTGTATCAAACACCATTACATATTAAGGCCATGCTAGGGGATCGAACCCGCATCTCTGAGCTCCTCAAGCGCACGCACTACCGACTGGACCATGAAGAGCTAAACATATGTTTATATTATATGTAGTATGGACGGCATCCTCCACAGTACGACCTCAGTTTTTTTGGTGTGAGAGTGCGGCATCCAAGGTGTTGTGACAGTCTTGAAAGATGCACTCTACCCAGAGGTTCCTCTCGTGTCTTATCTTCAGCACCAATAGGTTGGGGGGAGCGGTACGTCCCTCTGTCACCAGGCTACACATTACCACCCCCTCTACCCCCTCTATCCCCTCTACCTCCTCTATCCTTTATTGACTCTGCACTATGTTTGCCGTGTGTGTGTGTGTGTGTGTGTGTGTGTACTCACCTAGTTGTGCTTGCGGGGGTTGAGCTCTGGCTCTTTGATCCCGCCTCTCAACTGTCAATCAACAGGTGTACAGATTCCTGAGCCTACTGGGCTCTATCATATCTACACTTGAAACTGTGTATGGAGTCAGCCTCCACCACATCACTTCCTAATGCATTCCATTTGTCAACCACTCTGACACTAAAAAAGTTCTTTCTAATATCTCTGTGGCTCATTTGAGCACTCAGTTTCCACCTGTGTCCACTTGTGTTAAATAGCCTGTCTTTATCTACCCTGTCAACCCTATGGTGTGTGTACTCACCTAGTTGTACTCACCTAGTTGTGTCTGCAGGATCGAGCATTGACTCTTGGATCCCGCCTTTCGAGCATCGGTTGTTTACAGCAATGACTCCTGTCCCATTTCCCTATCATACCTGCTTTTAAAATTATGAATAGTATTTGCTTCCACAACCTGTTCCTGAAGTGCATTCCATTTTCCCACTACTCTCACGCTAAAAGAAAACTTCCTAACATCTCTGTGACTCATCTGAGTTTCCATCTTCCATCCATGTCCCCTCGTTCTGTTACTATTCCGTGTGAACATTTCGTCTATGTCTACTGTCAATCCCTCTGAGTATCTTATACGTTCCTATCATGTCCCCCATCTCCCTTCTTCTTTCTAGTGTCGTAAGGCATAGTTCCCTCAGGCGCTCCTCATACCCCATCCCTCGTAGCTCTGGGACGAGTCTCGTTGCAAACCTCTGAACCTTTTCCAGTTTCATTATATGCTTCTTCAGATGGGGACTCCATGATGAGGCGGCATACTCTAAGACTGGCCTCACGTAGGCGGTGTAAAGCGCCCTAAATGCCTCCTTACTTAGGTTTCTGAATGATGTTCTAACTTTTGCCAGTGTAGAGTACGCTGCTGTCGTTATCCTATTTATATGTGCCTCAGGAGATAGATTAGGTGTTACGTCCACACACAGGTCTCTTTCGCGCGTCGTCACAGGTAGGCTGTTCCCTTTCATTGTGTACTGTCCCTTTGGTCTCCTATCTCCTAGTCCCATTTCCATAACTTTATATTTGCTCGTGTTGAATTCCAGTAGCCATTTCTCTGACCATCTCTGCAACCTGTTCAGGTCCTCTTGGAGGATCCTGCAATCCTCATCTGTCACAACTCTTCTCATCAACTTTGCGTCATCCGCAAACATCGACATGTAGGACTCTACGCCTGTAAACATGTCGTTAACATATACAAGAAATAGAATTGGTCCCAGCACCGATCCTTGAGGCACACACATACACTTGTGTGTGTGTGTGTGTATACTCACCTATTTGTGCCTGCAGGATCGAGCTCTAGCTCTTGGACCCCGCTTTTCTAGCCGTTGGTTATCTAATACAATGACCCCCTGACCTATTTCCCTATCATACCTGCTTTTAAAGTTATGAATGGAGTTAGCCTCTACAACCTGCTCCTTTAGGTCATTCCATTTACTCACTTCCCGCACGCTAAAAGAAAATTTTCAAACATATCTTATGACACATCTAAGTCTCAAGCTTCTATCCGTGCCCCCTTGTTATATTGATATTCATTGTTTACATTTCCTCTGTTTCCACCTTGTCAATCCCTTAAAGTACTTTGTACGTCTTTATCATGTCCCCCCCCCCCCTCTCCCTCCTCCTTACTAACGTCGTCAGGTTTAGTTCTTCAGTCTCTCCTCGTACCTCATCCCTCGCAGCTCTGGGACGAGTCTCGTTGTAAACTTCTGCACTTTTTCGAGCTTCCTTATGTGATTTTTTGTTATAAAGATGAGAACTTCACGATGGGCCGGCATACTCTAAGACTGTCGCCTCACACAGGCGGTATACAGTGATCTAAAAGCCTCCTTATTCAAGTTTCTGAAGTATGTTCTGACTATTTTTTATTTACTTATATACAATAAGGTACATTGGGTTTATGAGAGTACATTGATGTTTACATTCTTGTAAGGCCACTAGCACTCTTGCCAGAGTAGAGTACGCGGCTGATGTTATTCTATTAATATGAGCCTCTGGTTTGGTGTCATGTCCACTCCCAGGTCTTTTTCTCTAGACGTTATAGGCAGGTAGTTTCCCTTAATCGTGTATTGGTCTTTCGGTCTCCTGGCTTCTGATCCAATTTAAATCACCTTACACTTGCTGGTGTTAAACTCTAGCAGCCATTTCTCGGACCAGCTCTGCATCCTGTTCAAGCCATCATGTTGTAGTAGTAGTAGTAGTTATGGTCTCATATACGTGGTAGGCCTCGTCTCAAGTAAGTAGTACCCTCCTACTACTACTACTACTACTACTCAATAAGTAGTAGGTACCTGGTTGATACCTGGTTGATGGGGTTCTGGGAGTTCTTCTACTCCCCAAGCCCGGCCCGAGGCCAGGCTCGACTTGTGAGAGTTTGGTCCACCAGGCTGTTGCTTGGAGCGGCCCGCAGGCCCACATACCCACCACAGCCCGGTTGGTCCGGCACTCCTTGGAGGAATAAATCTAGTTTCCTCTTGAAAATGTCCACGGTTGTTCCGGCAATATTTCTTATGCTTGCTGGGAGGACGTTGAACAACCGCGGACCTCTGATGTTTATACAGTGTTCTCTGATTGTGCCTATGGCACCTCTGCTCTTCATTGGTTCTATTCTACATTTTCTTCCATGTCGTTCACTCCAGTACGTTGTTATTTTACTGTGTAGATTTGGTACTTGGCCCTTCACTATCTTCCAAGTGTATATTATTTGATATCTCTCTCGTCTTCTTTCTAGTGAGTACATTTGGAGGGCTTTGAGACGATCCCAATAATTTAGGTGCTTTATTGCGTCTATGCGTGCCGTATATGTTCTCTGAACTCCCTCTATTTCAGCAATCTCTCCTGCTTTGAAGGGGGAAGTGAGTACTGAGCTTCCTTATCTATATCTTCCTTATCTTCCTTATCAAGGTATGGTCTCAGAAACTTGCCCGAAACGCTGTGCGTATTAGTAGTGGTTTTAGGCACAGTATTGTAACGTACCATTATGTTACGTTATTGGGTAGATTAGATACATGGTGTTTAGTGGGTTTCATATTTATTTAGTAGTCCTGGATACAGCAGTGTCGTAGACGTTGAGACGAGGCCTGGAGCAGAGCAGAGAGCTGAGTAAACGATTCTTCGCGGCGGGGATCGTATTCCAGGGACTTGCCCGAAACGCTACGCGTACTAGTGGCTGTACAAGAATGTGACAATCCTTGTATATATCT